TGAACACCTAATTTTACAGCTTGGACTTCCTAGATCACTGCTGATCACAACAAAGCAATCTTAATCATCAGCGTCAAAAATTTACTCTTGCGCAAGTGAGTGGCAGCCAGCTGAGGTCATACATCATGCTATTACACATTCATACTATAAATAAATCAAAAATGCAAAGCCAAGCACCAGAAGGGCAATGCAGGCAAACACTGCTCAGCTTCCCAGTTCTTGGCAGTGGGTGATGGGGGTTCCCTTGGCTCAGGGTTTTGCCCTGCACAGGAGAGAACCCAGCTCAGCTGGTGCCCCAGTGTGAGCACAGCCTTCTGGAAGCCATCCAGGCATTTTTCACCTGAACTCCTTCCTCATGTCTGCACATCTCTCCAGCGTGGATGGGATGGGCTCCTGCTTTTGCTGGCACCTGATGAATGACCCAAAATGTTTTCATGAATGAACCTAAATGTATGCAATTCACCTCTCCCATTCCCAGCCATCCTTTCTGCTCCACTCTGGAGGAAATGTGAACTGGTTTGGTGACTGTCTGCTCTGAGGTATCCTGGAGGTAAGAATCAGGCTTTGGTTCTGCAGGAGGCTGCAAAGGCTGGAGGGCTCCTGTCACTTCCTTTACTTTGGCAACTTGTGGGAAGATTGGCAGTGGTTTGGGAGAAATGTGGAGGGACTTTCGGGGCTGGCATGGCTCTGATCTAAATAACTTTGCCATTCACAAGCCAGGAGCAAGCACCAGTGCAAAACAATGTGGGAAATAACAGTCCTGTGTAGCTAGAACTGTGGAGTCATAGAATGGCTAGGGTTGGAAGAGACCTCAGAGATCGTCCATTTCCAATCACTGTGCCATGGGCAGGGTTGCCAAACACTAAGTTAGGCACTGGATCATGCTTCCTGGGGTCCCATCCAACCCAGCCTCAAGAGATGGGGCAGCCACAACTTCTATGGGCAACAGGTACTATGGTGAATCTGAGTCCAGATTAATTTGACAGGAGAGAGGATGGCAGTGGGAGAGGTTCTCTTTGGTGAGGAGCATCTCCCTGCCCTTTGGGACTTGCTTGTCCTGTATGGAACACCCAATGTGGAGTTTCTCAGGATGTCCCTCTTCATTCGCCCCTGCTGAAGGTTCAGTTGTTCTCAGTGGGTTTGTTCACCAGCCCTTCCAGCCCCTCTGAAGGAAGCCCTGATCCAGCCATGTCAGCGGTGACATTTCCAGCAGTGACAATCCACTCCCCCTCCTGCTTTGATCCAGCGCTTTGCTTACTCGGGATTCATTACTTTAAACGAGGTTTAATTTAATTTGCTTTAAGCACAAGCAGCATAAGGCTGATTAAATCTGATCACAGAGCACCACGCCAGCAGCTGTGGCCACTTAATTCTATCAGCCAGAGCCTTGCACCCTGCTCCCAGCCCGTGCAGAATCTCACCTCCATCTGCACTTCCACAGCTGCTGAAAGCACACACCAAGGGACAGCCCGAGGACTTGTGCCCCTCCTGCTCCATTATCAGCTCTGAAAGGGCTCTTAGCAATTCCTGCTCTCCTCATTTCCACAGCATTCTCTGTATGCGGAATGCGTAGTAGAGCGATGGAGAATAAATGGAATGGTGATGTCCTGGCATGGAGACTTCTGTCAGCTGCTTAAAGTTGTTTGCATTGGCAGTTATTTCACTTGAAGCATTTTGCAATTTTTACAAAGCTCAGGATTGCAATTATTTTGCCTGGCTGATGGTAACACTCAGCACTAATTAGAACCGGCCAAGCCAGTGTACTTAGTGCTTCTTGAAATTTCATATTTAGGTCAAAAAAACGATCAATCAAATTCTGCATTTCTTTTCTTTTGAAGCCAAAGTGTTCCCATTCAACACCTCTCAGTACAACATGTACCAAAGTTGTGTTTAAAAATGAGGCTGCAGCGTTAAATTTAGATACTTTTTGATTTAAAAAAAAAAAAAGGACAGAAAGATGAATTCCCATGAAAACATGCAGTCAAACCTCTTCCCTCTCCTGCAGCCTCTCCCAGTTTCTATTCTGTGTTTAGAAAAATGAAATGCTTAAAATGACCCAGGGCTGCCTCCAGGGTAGGTCATCTCCAAGGCTAGCTCACCCTTGCTGAGGGCCTTCAGAAAGTTTGGTCTTCATGAGCATTCAGTGAGTGTTGGTGAATAACAACATGAGGAATTCAATTCCACCCCTTTGCTTCATAAGCACTCCCATGTCAGGCACCGTTATGACAGAGTGCCTCTCTGCTGCCATCTGTCACTCTGCAACAAAATGGAATGGAATATTATTGGGAAGGTTCAGCCTCTGCTGCCATCCCACCAGCGTCTGCATCTGACATCGTGGGCCAACGTGATAAAACAGGAGGCATTACTTTCAGAGCAGCCCTTGAATTTCTGAAGAAGTTTTGCAGATGTTGGTGGTCCCAAATGTTCCCCCAGGAAATGTTGCCCTCCCCGAGCACTCGGTACCAGCGTGTCCCTGTCCCCACACCAGGCTGTTTGTTATTGCCCAGCATCTCTTCCTCGTTCCACCCTGACTCTGTTACTCTCCTGCACGTCCCACAAAGCTGCAGTGAAGAAGCGTTCCACGGGACGGGTTTTGACTCAGTATTAGTTGGCAAAACTCCCAGGGACAACTGCAAAACGTGCCCACGAGGAAACTTCACAGGGGAATCACACCATAAGATCAATGGCTTGACGTGCCAAAGAGCTGAAGTCACCTCCCTTGCTGGCTCTCGATCTGCATCCAATGAGGAATGAACCAAGACCGCAGAACTTGGCTTTACCTGCTGTCTCTCCCAAGGGACAGGAAGCCAGCACTGTGCCATGTGCTGTGGGGCTGAGCTCTTTCTGGGCTGGTGGGCACAATGGGGTTGATGGCTGCACGTCATCATCTCAGTGGTCTTTCCCAACCTTAACGGTTCCATGATTCTATGTTTCTATGAGAGGCTCAGCGCCTGCCGGCCCGTTACTGAGTGCACAGAAAAGACAATTTTCAAGCTGTACGGATGCTCTGCATTAACTCCATCCTTTTTCAGGTGCCTGATGAGAGGCTGGTTCCCTGAGGATTCCCCCACTAAATGTTTTTCTCTGTTTCCTCCCCCCTCCCTCTCCTTTCTCTTCTTTCTTTCCCCTCTCTCTGCAGACCCACACATGTAGTATCTTCCCCCCTGTGTTCTTTCTTGATCTCCCCACTCCCAGCTGCACCAGTTCTTCAGTAGGTCTGGCAGAACGATTTTTATTGATATTAATGGCTCTGGGTTCTTTTTATTTCAGGGCTGGATCTTTGCTTTTACCAACAAAATTTATCTCCATCAGAAACATTGACAGATCAGGGCATTTATCCAGGCATCTCTTACAATTGCTTTTTCCTTTTTGTTCAATGGCAACCAATAGGTTTATTGCTCAGAAAGAACAGTAATGGAATCAATGCCCCGGTTATATTTTCATTTTTTATTATTAAAATCTTTTTGGAAGTAATGTATGAGCTGAGATGAGCATTGGGAGCAGAAGAAGGTGCTGCAGCTGCCCTCTGCAGCCTCTTGACTTAATCAAAACAGTACAATTTCATTCCCAAGAAACAACCACAGCATTTACTTCTTTCCCCTTCCTTTCTAAGGAAGGCATCTGCAGTACAATGAGTGCTGACTATGAGGAACAATGTGGGCACATCAGTTAAAAACAAGATGTGGGTGACTGTATCCCCTGGATATTACCAGGCAAGTGCCCAAACCCAAGAGGATTTTATAGAACACAGAAGCACAGGATGATTTGGTTGGAAGGGACCTCAATGTTTATTACGTACCAACTTCTCTGCCATGGCAGGGCTGCAAATCAGGCATCAGTTCAGGCTGCCCAGAGCCCCATCCAACCTGGCCTTGGGCACCTCCAGGGATGGAGCACCCACGGCTTCTATGAGCAGCCTTCACCAGAGCCTATTCCAGATGCGCATTGCTGCTCCTTATGAAATATGTCTTATGATATCTCTCCACCCAAGCAGAAGGGGCTTCTTGGAGGCTGGGTCTGAGGAAGGTCTGTTTATCCCTTGGGATGTCCCCAGTGCTGCAGGGAAGAATCACCCACGGGGTGTGAGGGGTAGAGAGGGCATTGAGCAACGCTCCTAGCATCAAACGTCTCCTGTTTCAGCTGGAAAGCCACTGCCTTGCAGTGCCAGTCCTGTGGTTAGGCTGCATCTACATTTACTCTGCCTTTTCCGGGCAGTTTCCTCTTGCCAACACTGCCTCTAAATTCAGGCCAGAACTACTGTATCACACAGCCTGTCCCACAGGGCTGAGGAAGTCATTTCACATGTGTCAGGGTGACTCAATCTTGTTTCTATTTGCAGAGCATCCAGCTCCATCAGCTTTTTCTTGGCTCTGGAGCAGACGGACAACCGCACTGCACCTCCTCCAACTTACCCACCCCATCCCTTTGTTGTCAGCAGCAGAAGGGGCATCACATTTCCAACATCTCATCACAGGTTGAACCAATCCAGCAAAGCCAAGAATGCTTCTGGCCCAGCCATCTCCTTCAGACACCCAACTGCCAAGGACAATGAGGATATGCCTTTGCCTTTCCCCCCTTTCTCTGCATTCTCTCTCTGCACAGCCCCATCCCTGTGCTGCAGTTCCATTCCCCTTTCTGTGCTGACTGCCTGCTGGATGTGCTTGGGAAGTGAGCTGTTCTGCTTCTGAGGTTTTGCACCTCTGGCTTCTGCTTCTTGCATCCCTTGCAGTTATTTCCTTTCCCTTCCTGCAGGGTGGGACAAGGTATAAAGTGCTGTGGCATCAGCCACAATCATGGCCAGCATCAGAGGTGTCCCAGCCTTGTCCACAAACCATTCCCAGCTCTGGGCTGTGAGAGTTTGCATCCAATTTCCCTCAGCACCTTTTATATCAGAACCAGCATGTTTTTCCTCTCCTTAGTCACTCTGCAGCATGTGATGTGGCACGGAAGGACACGATCAATGGGCATGGTGGTGATGGACTGGGGTTGGATTTGGTGATCTTAGAGGTCTTTTCCAACCTTTATGTTTCTATGATTCTATGATTCTGCGTGCTGCCCTTTAGAATCTTGACCTCTTCTTTTGCTTTTATCAGGACTTTGATCTGACTTCTCTTTGGCACCAGAAAGGCAGAAAACAACAAACTCGTACGTACTTTACATGCTGCTTTTGCTTGCTGCATTCTCATCTCCTGGAAGATGTTGCAATTGGGTTCAGCTAAGCAGGGGATATTGTTTCCAACAGTTGAGACTGAACACTCTTCAGTTTCCTTGAAACTTTCCAAGCAAATGTGGCCAAATGGTCAGCCAGTCAGTGCTCTGGAGGGCTTAGAGCAGTGGAAATTTCAGCGATGCTGTTGACATCTCCAGCAGAGCTATGTAAACATGGCAGAGCAGTGCTTCATTGGCTGTTTCCAAGCCAGGGAAAGGTGATGTCTCTGCTCTGGGAATGAATCACAGCAAAGACCAGGGACCTTTTTGGGTTCTCATTTCCATCCGCCTTGGGAACAAGGAGTCAGCCACCTGCAGCACGCACATCAGCACCCCCTTCTCTCTCCCCAGGGCATTCTGTGGGCTGGAAACCTCTTTGGGAACCCCGTGCAGAGACAGAATGGAGTGTGGCCAGCACTGCAACCTCTGGCATGTCTCTTCCCAGACAGCACGTCCTGAGCACAAACCCTGACTGCCCAGCTGCAGGCAGACATCACAGTCTGGCTTCCTCCTTCAGCTGGGGGTAAAGGTTAAGAAGCAGATGGGTTGTTTTGTAATCTTGTTACAGTAATGACTCCATTACACAAACGATCACTTGCTACTTCTTTTCCAGCAATTCTTCAAAGAAACTGCATCCAGATATTCTGCCTGCAACGTTTAATTACTGCAGCTCCTCTTACTTAGAGATGCTGAAAACAGCTGGCTGCCTGTCAGAATCACCCCACCTCAACTCCTAGACCAGCCCACAGCTGGAAGTGACATTCCCATCTCCCAGGACTGTTATTTTCTCCTGATAATCCATGGGAAACACGAGGGCTCTTTGAAAGCTGTACTCGCATGCTCACCTGGTGTGCTCAGGCCATAGGAAGAAGGAAGGGGTAATTCAGAGAGGGGCTGTGGCTCCAGCCTGGTGCCATGCTGCCTTTAAGCACTGTGCTTCAGAAGGCACTCATTTTGCATTGTCTCTGTGTTTCCACGTGTCTGATAAGGGAACCTGCTCTCACGTGGCAGCACGTGGAGGCTGGGGTGCTGACAAACGCTGTTATGCCTCCATTTCTCCAGGGAAGGAAGAATAAAGCAGACAATTTCGGATTTATCAGATCGCTTCAGAGGATTCAATAGTGCACGATGTGAAAATAATCTCAGTGAAAATAATAGCAGGCCTCCTCGTTTTAAATATGCAATTGTCCTTCAGATTTTGAGAAGCTCAAAATACTTGTCCCTGAGTGATCTCCTTATCAGTCATTGCTTCAGACACATCCATCTAGTTCCCCAAAACTCCCTTCTGAAACAGGTCTGCTTTTCCTTATGGGCAAAACCCTGATTTTTTCCCTGTGCTTTCTCCTGCAAGGTCAGCCCTGAGGATTTAAATCACTTCTCGTTTTGAAAAGAGCATGGACATTACACCAGCAGGTATGGACGTCACTGGGGCAAGGTAAAGGGCAAGGTAACTTGTATTACAGCACTGTAGGCCGTCTTGCCAACACAGGATTCTCAGTTCCCCTTTGCATTTTTCTTTCTTCCCTGGTGCTGTCTCCACAATCTCATTTCCCTCTGTGTCCCTGTCTGGAAAGTGTTTCTGGGAACATGAATCTGGCTTCCCATCGGCCTGGAGTCTCCTTCCTTCCTTCCTGCAGCTCCTCTCTGCTGTCCAATAAGGGGATTCCTATCGCAGCTGAGCTCATTTCCAAATTCCTCCCAGATGGAGGACTCCAGGGAAGCACTGTACACCCTTCCACAGATCCACAGAATGGCCCAGGTTGGAAGGGACCTCAAGGATCATGAATCTCCAGGGCCACCAACCTCCCCATTTAATACTGGACCAGGTTGCCCAGGGTCCCATCCAACCTGGCCTTGAACACCTCCAGGGATGGGGCACTGACATCTGCTGGCGTTGGCAGAACATTTGGAGAATAATAACTGTGCCCTACTTGGTTTTGTCCTCAGTGCAGGACTGATACGGAAGCACCACCTTAATGACAGGCACACAGATACAAGATGTGCTCTGTTGCTTGGTGCCCAGAAGCATACAGAGAATAGAAGCCCTCTCATAAACTGGAATCTTTTTTTGAATGTTAAAAAAACAATTATTGGTGATATTGCAAACATTAAAAAAAAACCACAACCAAAACCAGAAACCTCAGAACACATCAACTTGATTCTGGAAAACTCTTCTCAGATACCCTCACTGTCAAAGGGGCAGAGTCAAGCTCTGCTGCAGAGCTCTGCTGGCGTCCTGGAGCCAGGTAGAAAACAGCACCCAGTGCAGGCAGGAACCAGTGAAAGTCCTTCTGAAATCAGATTGCTGAACTGTTGACTATGCTCTAAAAGAAAAGTCTTTACTGCTGCAGAATGGGTTTATTTGGTGCGTTCTGGAGTAGGATGCAGGCAGTTTCCCATGCTAGGTAAAATAATATCTGAGTTGATACAAATTTCTTCCACCCATCTCCGTGTTTCAGTGAAGAACTTCAAGGTGCTGCAGGTATAATTAAGAGATGTTTAGAGCCAAAGCCCCAGTGTGGCTAGAAATTTCATTTTACAGCCTTCTGTAATTTCATCTGGATGGGATTCAAGCTCGTACATAAGAGCAGTAATGCAAGAGCCAGACCAAGCCAAAGGAAACAAGTTGGTTAATGTGAGAGAACACAAGGGATGAGCAGACACAAATCTGCCGTGAGGAACTTTTGCTTGTACAAGGTGGTTTTTAAAATGATGACCTTCTTGAGTAACGGCACCTGCAAGAGGTTTCTTTATGGCAGGTCTTGATTGAGGTTACGAGTGTGAACAGAACGTGCTCTCAGATCCTTGAATTGCTTTTTGCTGCGCTCTGATCAGCAGTGCTGATAGGAGTGGGGTCGGGCTTCCACTAAATTACAGCCAGATATTTGCACTCTTTGGGCTGCTTGGTCTTTGGGAGTGAGGAGGTCAAAGCCACACGAGCTAGAAATCTGCTCACTTACCAGCTGATGAATGCAGGCTCGAAAAGACCTACCAGGAGAATGACTCAAACGATGTCAAGGGTTCCCTGGTTTTGATGAGACGGGCTAAATGTCATTGGTTATGCTGTGTCTGAGCTATGATTAATTACATGGAGTGCTCTGTGCAACAGGAAGGGAGAGGCTGTATAGTCTGTTGGCTGCAAATATTGTACTGTTGAATAGGAAATGTTTATTTCTAAGTTTTATTCACATAGCTTGTCTGGTTCCTTGGTGACATCTGTGAGAAATGAAGGTCTATTTGGTATCCAAGTTTTTTCTCTTTGTGTCATGGAAGGCAAAGGCTCTTTTGGTTGGCTTCCTTAGGCATCACACGGTAACACGGTGCTATGAAGTGTGTTGGAAGGGCTGTTAGAGAGTGGCTTCAGCTTCTCCTCACCAAGAAAACATCTGTGCTTGTTTTCTATGGTCCTAAGGAGGAGATATTGGCTTTTGGGGTTTATCAAGTTTCCACGTGCACATTTGCTTTCATTTCCTTCTTCTTTGTTCTAGGACAAAGTTATTTGTGTTTTGCAATATTGCTGATGTAATAAACTTTCCTGCAGCTGATCAAAGCTGTGTGCCCTCACTTATCCATCAGACCTACCTGGCAGGTTTGGCACTGCTTTTTCATGATGGCCATCGGCTTTGGGAAGCATGCATTCTGTCATCATCTACTTCACTTCTGGTTCAGTGCTTCTTGCCTTTTTGACTTCTTAGGCTGCAAACAAGTCACTAGTCTAGCAAGCAGCCAGTCTAGGGGCTCACCAGCCCCTGTAAATGGGACTTAGAAAAAAAAAATAAAAGGTAACAATAATTTTTCTTATCTTCATACTCTGTAATTACAATATGCTGCTCCATTTTATGGGTGAGATAAGGTAACGATGAGTGTAAATCCAAAATCCCCAGACTTCCCAGGTTTCCCCTAAGGCCCCTCTTCCTACAGCTGCGTTTCCACAGAAACATCTCACTGCAGCAAACCAAGCAAAAAAAAAAAAGGCAGACAGGAATAACAAAACAAGGCAAGAGTCCTCTGCAAGCCAAGGGCAGTTGGGTTTGGTAACCAACATGAGCAGAGGGAATTATTTATGGCTGTGTAGAGGCTTCGGTGCATGGAGCAGCTTTGTCTTGCAAGCTTCTACCTCAGGCAGGGAGAAATGAAGGCAGAGTTTGGCTGTGACACCAGGTGCTCCCTGAGGGTCAGAGAGCTGCTCTGTGACTGGAGAGGCACGTGCTGAAGGTCCGGGAGTGCATTAGTGCTGATGTTCAAAGAGTGGGGAAAGGCAGTCTCCATTTTCCAACCTGGGTCAGTAATTTGCTGAGGTTGGACTCGACCCAAACGTCAGCTTGGCACATGTTTTGCTAATGCTTGCCTGATTGTGATCATCAGAAAGTAACCTGTGGTTCCCATCAGTTAATGGAGGTTGCTGTGGTTGGTTGGCACACAGATGCAAAATAAGCAGAAAGAAAAAAACGAGCTGGTTTTGAGACTCTGTTCACCAGGGCATTTTTCCTGCACCTCGTCAAAGGGTTCTCTGTGTTTTGTTTTCCTTTATTCATCTTCTTGATGACCTAAAACACAGTTGGGCAGAAACTACCTTGTAAAATTCAGAGACACTTTTAACATTGTTGTTGTTGTTTGCTGCTCTATTTCCCATCCTCCGAGCATTTCTCATTCCATTGCTAAGTTCCGTGCTCTCCATTTCAAGCTTCTCCCTCTAACAAACCACATGAGTCATTCTCTGGCTCCTTGTCAGCAGTGTAAGGATGCGTAGAGCTAACAAATATGTACTCCACAGTGTAATGCTGTTTTCTTCAAGGTTTGCCCATTGTGGTTCAGTAACAAATGGGCGGGGGTGGTACGAAGCACTGACACCCTTGGAGTGCATTAAAGCCATTATCATTCCACATACATTTTCTTTCTCTGTGGCACGTTTAAGTGTTTCTGCTCAGCGGCTCGAAAATGGTTTTTGAAAGAAAGCCATTACATGGGGTTCAGGACCCAGATTTGAAATTTAGATTGAGGAACACGTGAATAAAACATTTGTAATTGGAGCAATAATCTTGTCGTGCTACTGGGGTGCTGGATTTGGCATCTATCATGGGAATGTGATGCTTTAGGGCAAAGATTCTGGTTTTCAGATAAGGAATGTAAATGAAAAATACCTACAAGAGGAGGCATTTTGAAACACCAGCGTTGGGAATGAAGTATTTCTTTAGAAGTTACAGAGGTCTTCCTTTTATTATTATTATTATTATTATTATTACTTTGAAAGGCAAAACTTCCTGGGTGCCTTTAATCAGTGAACTTTAATATTTTCACTTTTCAACATCCTTGAGGATGTTGAAACTGCAAATGTCAGAAATTGCCCTGGGATGGAAGTTCTGGTTTCGAGTGCTGCAGATTCAGGCTTCAGGGCCACAAGTCACCCTGTGTTCCCATCGTGAAACTCGCTCAGAAAATAACGGTAGTCTAGAGGAATGCATCCTGTCCTTCCCTCCTTGATTTAATAGTTCTGTACATCAGAAGGTTACTTGTTTCAAAGTAAAGGGCTTTTACCTGAGGAGTAAAAGCAGAAAGGAGTGTTTGTTTCAGGTTTCTTCCCCCCCTGCGCTTTTAGTCAGGCTCAAAAAGGGCAAGGAAACCCTCTTGGATCTACTGCACAAGAAGCCCCCTCAGATTTTCCTTTGGGGAAAGGATGTGGGATCCCAATGCTTCACCACCAGCACAGTCAGATTTCTGGTACCTATGGGTGAACGTGACATTGTCCCAAACCTCTGAAATGTCAGGTTTGAGCTCAAACCACCCCTGGGCAGGTCAGGGAGATTCAGAGGTGACTTCCCCAGAGGAGATGCTGAATTCTGCAGTGTTTGTCAACACCTCCTGCCAACAGAGATAGGGAAACCAGAGCATGTGATGCTCATGCAGTGCTCAGGGGCTCACAGGTGAGCACAGACCGTGGGTTTTCCAGGGCCCCTTGCATTTTGGTTGATGGGAAATCGTGGGGTCAGGGCTGTACATGTGTTCTGCAATTTGGTCACGGGAGAACAGGTTCTTAATTTTGCTGAAGATAGGTAGTGTGGGGAAAGAGGAGTGTTCATGGGGTCCTGGATGAGGATCCCTGCTTACACCAGTGCTCAAAGCCTGGGGATGCTGCAGGGAGGCTGTCTGGCTGTCTGTGGCAACCAAGGTCCCCAGACTGCCATGTCCTTGTTTTTGTGACTTCAGTCAGCACACTTTGTTTATTTAGTGACAATCATTGAGCAAACATCCTCTGGAGGCTTACCTAGAAACACTTAGTCTGATAAAAAAAAAACAAACAACAAGACACTTCAAGAACAAAACTGATAAGAGAGAAGCTGGTCAAGGAGAGATCTTATCCAAGAAGCTCTGTGCATGAGCACAGTCAGTTCAGGCTTTTGCAGAGCATCCTCTGTGCTGTGGTGCAGTCAGACCCCAGCAGCCATCCCATCATCAGTCACAATAGCTGGCAGCCTGCCCTGATGTGCTCAGCCTGCTCTGATGGAGCTCTTGCCAGATCCAGACCCCCAACCTCCCGACCTCCCAGAGGAAAAACATTCATGCCACGTTAGATGCGTGCAGGATTTATGACTGCTGGACATTATTCAGGAGGTTTTTGGTTTCCAACAGATTAGCCAAGGAAAAGATTATCACTGTGGGAAAAAATTGTTGAACGGCCAATTACAAAGCTCCCCGTAAAATGATTTACTTGGCAAATTCAAAGGGGCTGCATAGAAGTCTGTGTAAGAGCTTGCACACAGCTCCCTGGGGATGGGAGGTGGATGTCCTGCCACAATTCCTCTGCAGTGATTTTTGGGTGGCTTCCTGACTGGTGATTCTCCAGAGTAAGCCCATAAATTGCAGATGCTAATTAGAGGCTCTCACCCTGTACAGGTGGTAATAAGTCCAGGAACAAAGGTGGATGACAGTAAACAAGGACTGGATCGATAACTTTAATTCTGGAGCAGAGACAGCCCATACTAATTCAAAGTGAAGCCCTCTGGACTGGGAATTTAGTGGCTAGAAAATATTGCCTTTGAAAACTCATCTGTTCTCTTTTACGTATTTGTTTAATCTAACGTCATCTTCCTAGCAGAGGATGGATGAATTCCTTAGAGACAGATGTGGTCATCCTTGGCTTTGTTATCCCACTGAGGTAGCAACAAGTGGGCATGGGCATGGGGAGACGCTGCAGGGCAGGAGGAGAGACGCCAACAAGCCAGGATGGTTGAGGGCACACCAGTGTGACACTGAGCACCATGCTTCCCAGTCCTGTCCCCGCCAAGCCTGCTCATAGGTTCTTGCACCTTTTGCAGTAGAGATGGGGAACTTTAGCATTGCCCTCTCAGTCCCACCCCCTGCCATGGGCTGACTGCCCCCTACTCAGGCTGCCCAGGGCCCATCCACAGCCTTGGGCACCTCCAGGGATGGCATCCACGGCTCTGGGCAGCAGTTCTGGGTCCTCACCACAATCTGAGTGAAAAATTTATGCCTAACATCTAATCTAAATCTCCCCTCTTTTAGTCTAGAACCATTCCTCCTTGATTTATCGCTGTCTGCCAATGTAAAATATCACTCCCCCTCTTGCTTATAAGCTCCCTTTAAGTACTAGAAGGCTGCTGTGAGGTCTCCCCAGAGCTTCCTTTTCTTTCCTATGTTGGGGTCCCCAACAGCACAGTGGACAGAAGTGACCACCACTGACTCAGCCTTTGCTGTCCCTGCCTGAACAGTTCCATGGCAACTCTCATTGTCTCCCAGCCCTTGCTCTGGGTGCCAAGGATGAGAAAAGGGGAGAAGTGGGGACCCTGGAGGATCTCTGTGATTCCTTTTTCTTCGCCCCACACAGATTTCCTGTGTGACTGTAGACAAGTCATTTAGTATCTCCACAGTTCCCCATTTGCAAAAATGGATTTTCCCTACTTCACAGATAAGGAATAATAAAAGGATAAATACACTAATGAGCCTTGGAGGCGTTCTTGATGTAGGTCAACTGGATCCTGTTAACTCAGTGTCTTATCTGAGTAAAAAAAAACAACCACAAAACATCCTGATTTTCTGGGAAGACATCAGTTATTCCTATGAAAACAAGTGATACTTTGGATGAGTGCATCAGAGCACATGATAGTATTTGGAAGTCATTCTTGATAACTAATTCTGTTTGGCATTTATAGGACACTATAGTTTGGCTGCATTGGAGTTTTCTGCTTTAAGTCTATGAATACATCAGGGAAAGCCTGTAAAGATAGAAGAAGGAGAAAGTAAGTTACGTATAATATATATACACGATGAATATTCTTGTTGAGAATATTCTTGACAGCTCACTTAAGGGGAGCTGTGGATGGGATCAGGGGATCGCTTGTGAAGTCTAATGGCAGGTTTGTCTTCACCCCACCTAAATCCAAACCAGATCTATGGGAGAGGGATCCCAGACATTTCAGAAGGCTATGGAGAGCACCTGGGCACTCTTTGAGGACTTTGGTTTGTTGACTGCTGTATTTTCCTTAAGAGAAGTAGGCAGTATGAAGAGACAGAGACAGAGAAGGTTGGGTTGGGTTGAGTTGGGTTGGGTTGAGTTGGGTTGGGTTGAGTTGGGTTGGGTTGAGTTGGGTTGAGTTGAGTTGGGTTGAGTAGAGGAAGTACTCCCAGGTCCGATGAGCTGAAGGAAAGGCACAGACTTTGATCAAGGTGTTAACGAGGGCCAATTGACCCCATTAGCCCCACCTTGCTCTGCTCCTGTAGCTGTGTGGGAGCGAAAGTGTAGTGGTGAAGGAAGGGGTTGTGAGGTGCTGCGTGCAGGGCAGGAGGGGCTCTGCAGAGGGTAATGTGATGGTGTGTACTGGAGCTCAGGTGTCTGGGTGTGCTGATCACTGAAGGTATAGGGGGAATGTGAGGCATGATGAGTTATCTGGGAAGGTTGCAGTGGGAAGTTGAGGGAGATCAGCTGCTTACGATATTTGTTTATTTATTTGACTATATTTAGCTACTTAGTCAATTCTGTAAAGTACTCCTTTAAGTGTGTGAGTGGAAAGCACTTCAGTATTGCAATAGCTCAGGCTAATGCTTATTTGATGCTTCCTGTTGCATGTGATTGAGTTGAGCCTTTCCTTCTTCAGCCAAAGGCTTTCTCTGCTCCCCATCCATGGGAAGAATTGACAGTGGTGACTACAGGGTGAGTGAGATGTCATTCTACTGTCTGAGCCTGCTGGCATGCTTCTGAAATTCCTTCTGTGTGGAAAGTCTGTGCTGTGGAAGAGAGCAGCCTCAGTCCTTGGAGCATGGACTCTTCCAGAGAACTGCCATGGAACTCGCAGAGAACTCTGGGACTGCATGACCTCGAGTGCATAGGGAAAGAAGAGGGAAATACTACCTATTTGCTGAAGAGCCAGGTGAGAAAGACTGAAAAAGGGAAAAGGCAAGCAAACCAGCAATATGCTGGCTGATCTTTCTTCTCTCTCTGTTTCCCAGATCAGGGACTAGTGGCGTATAAAGACGAGGGAAGGAGGGCAGGATGGAAAGATTTATGTTCTTGGTGGTGTTTCTTATCAGAGACCGGGAGCTGTCTGAGGCTGTCATCTAGTCCTGATCTCTCTGATTCAAGAGGGCCCTGGTAGGGAGCTCTCTTATCACTGGAGGATGGTTTCATATGGTTCAGTCTCTGAGTTATCAGCACTCATGCTAATTCCTGTGGCTCCAGAACTGGTCTGGCAGCAAAGAAGGGCCACAGATCAGACCCTGTATCTAAACGGGAAGGAGACTTCTGAGGAGGTTTCTTTAATGTGACACAGGTTGCTGTATGACAAACAACAGGAAACATGAATGTTGTCACAGATTTGTAATGTTCCAAAGCCTCAGCCAAGAAGGAGAGACTGATCTCACACATCCTGTGCCCCAGGTGAGCAGTGCTGCCCCGGCTCAAGGGCTTTCCTCATCCTCAGGTTGAAACTGATACAGCAGGCAGGGAGTGTGAGGAATCTGCCGCAGGAGATGGGAAGAACAGAAGGAGCAAACAACCCTCAACTTGTTTACAGAGCCATTATTCTGTTCACAGGCTTCTCAGCTGTGAGTTTATTCCTAAAAGTCATAGATGTGGAAGCACTTTGTCAAAGCATTGATGCAGCAAATGTGGACGCAGGAGGACAGGAAGGCAATCTAGCAGTGCTGAGTGCAGGTGGAAGCAGTGTGGGCTGCCTGGTTGCACTGAGGGCACTCGCATATGCTCACAGCGCGTGTGCCATCCCTGAGGGTTTTTCAGCAAGAACAGAGCAGGTGCTGCTAGAGCAGGGCAGTCAGCCTTGTCACTTAGGAAATTCACCCTGTGACAGTATGAGACAAGAAAAATCCTTGTGGCAGCTGCGCCAGCAAGCTTCTCTATCCAACATCATTGCTGGAAAAAGTGGTTTTTTTTTTTCCTCAACTACCATTTGAGAACTTTCTGCAAGAATAAACTAAACCTACTTGAAGGAGCTGTGTTGTCATTGCTACATTCGCAGCCTTAAAGCACGATCCCAGCGGTGCCCCACTGAAGCAAGAAAGCAATTCCGCAGAAAACTATGCCTGCCAAAAAAATGATTTGTTCAAAGCACTTGGCTTCGAATAGATGCATAAATGCTTCCCTGAAATTTGGATTGTAATTGAGGAGCAATATGCTCGACAGAACATGCCTAATGAACAGGCATCAAAATTTACGACCATAGAGGGGTAGCAGTAATGGGTTATGCAGGAGATCAGTCCTACATTTCTAGTCAAAGTGAGAACTGCCAGCAGCCTGTGGTAAAGAAGAAGTCTTTTTTCAATCTCACCTCCTCTTTTAACATCCTTCATCAAAGAAGCATACAGGCATGACCTCCAAATGTAAACTAATGAGATGTCAGCACACGTACGGTGGTGGTAGCAGAGCAGAACTGTGTAGTTTCAGTGGACCTAGAGGTCTGTACAAACATGGGAGTTTTCCAAATGCTGTAATGCCTTTTCTACCTACTCGCCGGATAATTCTGTAGCAAAGAGGAACAGTCCCACCGCTACAGCAAAAAGTTGTTTCATATCTCCTTGTTTTTGTACTAGAGATTCCCCTGATTTACATGAAGAAAAGGAAGTGGGCTATCTGCAAGAAGTGAAGTCATCTTGCTAGAGGGTTAGGGCTGGAGCAGCCCTTGCCATATCTTTGGAAGGATACCATTCTTCATGCTTTGTTTTTAGGAACTGTCAAGAGAAAGGAAGCGTAGTGAGCAAAGAGCTATTTTGAGTGATAATCATGCTCTGGCAGTGGCTTACATGGTTATATCTTAATAGATCTCTTCCACTTTGGTCTCTACATGCACAGCTGTGCCTCTGTATCCTGCCTGCGGAGACCAGCTTGAAGCCTGGGGATTTCTGTATGTGAGCTGTAAATACATTCACATCTTCACGTAGCAGTTGCACCTACTATAGAATCATTCAGCTTGGAAAGACCACTAAGGTCATCCAGTCCAACCATCAACCCATGCCTACGATTGCTGTAGACCATGTCACCCAGTGTGGTATCTCCCATTTTAACACCTCCAGGTATGGTAACTCCACCACCTTCTGAGCAGCTGTGCCAATATCTCACCAGAGATCCCATCCAAACCCTGCAGTTCTGTGATTCTGTGACCTGGGGAATCACGTGTGAAAAATACAGCACACGTAACAACGCTGCCATGGCTGAACAAACTCCTGCTCTTCGCAGTTGAAAACGTCAGCTTTTGGTGGATGCTCATGAAAGTACAGAACGAGTCAGGAATGAAGGTGCATCAAACAAAGGGCTTTTATCTATTTATTTATTTTGCTTTAAGATCCGAAGTGATTTTAAAAACAAGCTATTGATAAACTTCATCATTAGAAGATATCAAAGCCATCTGCTGAAGGAGAAAGCTGCTGAGAACAATAGGTTTTCAAGTTTGTACCTTGATTTTTACAGTCACTTACATAAAATTGACATATATATATGTACGGTGCCAATAAATACACAAAATATTTCCAGTGCCTTTTTGACTTTTTAATACAAAAACCTACAGACAATGGAAGAACATAGCTTGATTTGTGCAACAATGAGGGATTCTGGAAGCAAGTTTAGTTCATAATTCTGAAAAAACATCCCACCGAAACATTCCGGATTTAGGGCACTTGATAATGTTGTATATAAGCTGGTGCTCCTGCTACTTCTAAGGCAAAACAAACTTGTAACTGCTGCTGTTGACAAACTTGGCTCCTGCTTTCCACTTTTGAAGAGATTCTTATCTGTCTTTGGCATCATGGAGCCCTAATTTTCTTCGAGAACCTGTCTGACAACAGCTGAGTGTGCTAGAGAACACAGCCCTCATTCAGCTGCTCGTTGATGAGCTGGAAAGTGTATATAACCCATGCTGTTCCTGGGGGTGCAGACTGCCTCCACTTTGTGCTCCATCCTGCGAGGTGCTGAAGAGACAAAGTCTCCAAACCCTGCCAGAGTGAACTCAGATCTCCCCAAAAGCTGGAAGTACTGTGATACAGAACATGTCCCCAGCCTGGAAAAGGGATCTTTGTACATGAACAAAGCTGGCATGAACTTTGTGCATGAACAAATAGTTTCAGCTGGTGGTTGGGCATCTCAGGAAGTTAAACCACCATGGGTAATGTCTTGCTCTCCAGGAAGAACTTAATGGTGTAGCAAATTCATCATTTGAAGATAAGGTTCTTCCTTCCATCAAGATACATGTCTACGTACATAGCTGCCCTATGTTCTACTCAGGCAGCAAGTGTTTGGGCAGCTTAAGTGCAATGCTGTGTATCTGCTGCAGGCGGCTGCTGCTGTTAACAAATATCTCAATAATAATAAAAAGCTTTTAACTTGAGATAACAATTGTATTAAAATAAAATAAAAAAAATCTTCTTTGATGTGGATGTTCCACAGGAGAAAGTCTGATGCTTACTGCTTAGTTAACTTCTGGCTGATCTGAGGATGCTGCCACTCACAGCCTAACAAAACATCTCAGGTATGTGAGTGTGGGTGAAAGCCAGGGTAAATGTGCCTGAACGTGATTCCTCCCTCTGAGTTTGCAGGCAAAAACCTCCCTTCAGCCAGAGCACGTGGCCCTTAACCAGAAATCTCTTCTAAAACAATTTAATAACGGCACTTACAGTTCAATCCTGGGATATATCAACAATAGTGCAAATAGGAAAGAAAATGGGAGAAGGTTTCTGGGTTCTGCTAGTGGAAAGCAATCGGACACACTCAGTTCCCAAGCTGCCGAGGTGCTCTCACGTAGAGGCAGGGAAAACATGGCTCTTTGATCAGGTGATGATATTCAAAGTTGGCTGGAAGAATATCCTCATCTCCCTCGTGTGCTCAGCGGGGCATTGCTCAACCTTCACATTTTTTCTTTTGAAATGGGAGCCCTACATACCCCATGGCAAAGAAAAAGGGCCGTGTCTGAGTTCACTCTGGTGGGGGATTGCTCACCGTGTGTGTCTGGAAGCAAAGATGATTGATGCACAGCAGAGGAGGTTTCTCTGGCTGTATGAGCAGATCGCTCTTGCATGTGATTTCGTTAGTGTTTTTGGATGGAGACCAGGCTCAGAAGCTTTTAAATTAGTTAACTTGCATTTTTATTATCATAACACTTGGAAACAAAACTCTAAAGTCAGTTCTGCTGTTGAAGGTTCACACCGGTACTGAAGCACAAAACAGTACACAATCATTTATATGAAAATACATTACAGTAGCAAAATGCTATACTGGCGTTTAACACCCAGATTTGGGCAAAAATTCATGTCACTGTCTGATTCTTCTAAAGAATGAATTTTCTCCTCATTTCCCATCTGAAATGATGGGCCACTCAAGAGATTAATAAAAGCAAAACGCAGTGCAGTCAGTTGGATCGCACGGAGTTGAGTAACGACGTTCTCTCAAAATACGTTTTGTGTGTGTGTGTGTGTTGGAAATGACAATACTTTCACCCATTCCTTTTGGTTACTGTAGCCTGGCCGTGTCCCTTCCTTCTGAGGAATGGCTCAGACTAACATTCACCAAACTGGCACATCCAAAATCTTCCCACCAGCCTACTTGATGCTATTCGGGTGATGTTTGACTCAGAAACCCGACCTTTAATTTCCACCTCTAGGCCCCAATCCTGCCAACACACATGGGCTGAAGGTGGCCCGTGTGAGTTCTCCTTATTGAGAGGCTACCCCTGCAATGGTGTTGTTCAGGGTAAACATGGCTAAAACATTCTACCAATCAACTTTTAATTGGCTTTACTCCTGTACACCAAGAAGGGAAACTGAGCTGCCTTTTACAATGGCATTCTTTTTACCCACAAGCTTAAGACTAAGCAAGGCATGCATGTATGTTGGTAAGATTGGAATTGTAATCTCTTATAGCTTGAGTTAGATTTACTTATTGATACAGAGAGAATGCTCATTTACTAACATATAGACCTCAAGGGGAAAGGAAGCAGTAGGTAAGTGAACTGCATTAGGAATTTGGGTTATATTTAGCGTTAGATTTTGGAGATCAAAGAAATCAGAGAAGAAAAGAATTCCTAAGAACAGAAGTCTTTTGTTAATAAATATTCGTAAAAAAATATACAACAACAAAGCCAACAAGAACTGAAACAGTTTCTTGCAATGTTTTTTGTACTGAGCAGTTCTTAAATGTCTTTTCCGAGATATGAAAGGGCCAAATCCAGAAACCCTGCCATTATTTTTAGCTCGTGAACATAAGCTGCCTTCTTGAAGCTCTTCCTCTAGGAGAGCTTCTTCCAGCTGTCTCAGTTTCACATCCACCCAAAACAAAACGCGTTTTCAGCCTGACCGCAGGCCGAAAGGTCACTTGTTCACAAGGGCCCATTTCGTCACCTCGTCCAACTGAAAATGCTGACCTATGGGCATCTTCACACCTCCACAAATGATTTACATTAAAGAAACTTTTTTTTCCTAACCCAATAACGGTGATTTTTCCGAGAACGCTTCCGTCCTCAATTAGCTTTGGGAAAATCTGATCACCGCAGCTTGGGTTCAGTCTGCCTGAGACCCTTCCCTCTGAGCCTGACCTCTATTCCCCTTAAGCAGCTTTACCCCAGCGCCGTACCATGGGCTTCTGCAGTCAGTGGGGTCACAGCCAGCCCTGGGTGCTCCCTGCTGTACCTGCTGGCCACTGTTACAGAAGCGTTATTAGCACTAAGAGGGGGAAATAGAAATTTCCACTGGGGTGGCTGTGCTTGGATCAATCTGCCTGCACTACTTTAAAACAAGTAATGCTGGATATGTTACTTTATGCTCGGTAAATTGTGCTGGTGTGCTAAACTTGCTAGAAGCTGGTGTATGAGATGGGGTGGGACAGCTTGCAAGGCATGAACTAAAATAAATACACTTATGCTACAGCCAGTGGAACAAGACAGTCACATCTGTATCTGTTACAGCAGCAGGAGATGCTTGTGGAATTTGTTGTCAGTGTACAGCAGGCACAGATTATGTCTTGTTATAGCAAAAGGCTCATCATTGCCAAAGCACTTCCTAAAACTTGTACGTAGAGTATGCATAAATATGTACAGAAAATCTATGTATGTACATTTATGTATCCCTAGAAGGTTCTTTCTCTGTGAGCCAAATACTGCATGCATGACTCCTCTCCCCTAGAACCCATATTACACATAATTCAGTGCAACAAGCAGTAAGGGATGACAACTTAAAATATAGTATTTATGGAAATCTGTTCTACAAGCCTATTAAGACTGCATTATGGCCTCATAAGAGTGTTACATAATCTCATTTGTAGAAATAAAGACCTTTCTGGATTTCTGTAAATATCTCAGTAAAGCTAGAATTTGCATTTCAATTTTCTCCAAGGATAAACCGAATTCGTCCCATTAACTTCACAGAAGCTTTTTTAACTAGTGGCTGAGAATCCCCTGTCCTGGACAGGTCACTTTAAGTCCTCTCTCTGTGAGATAAAAAATGAATTTTGGTGTGCTGGTCACCTGTGTGCCTTTCTATGGAGGTCTGCAAGAACGCAGATCCAGATTTGGGCACAAAACGAAGGGATCAGAAGCTCTGAAGGACTCAAATCTAAAATCTAAGAAAATGGAAAGTCTTAGGGTTTCCCAGAGGAATAAACTTTTCCTGGACTTGTGATTTTACCATATTGGTGCAAAGAGAAAAGCTGGGGCTTCTTAAGCAGTGGGAAAAGCCCTGCTGAGGTGGTGATGGTGAGCTGCCCTTCCTGGAGAGTAACGAGGACAGATTGGGTGCTGGGTGCCTCCTTGGTGCTAACAGCATGCTGCTGGGGCCCATGTCCCTGGGTGGAAATGTTAGCTAGGCCATCTTGGTGACACTTCTGGCCAAGAAGGAAGGAGCCCAATGGGGAAAGGGAAGAAAGAGGGAGAGTTGCAGAGAGTGCAGCCTGGCCACTGGACAGACCCTGCCAAACAGCTGCCTGGTAGGGACTCAAGTGAGAGACCACCAAGCAGTTCAGTGTGTAAAGCCTGAACATAGAAAAGTGTGACTTGACTCACTGACAGTGATGTATTTACTGTGGGAGGAGAAGGGGAGCTGGGGAATTTCCCTGAGATAGTAATGTCTATGAGAAAAAGAAGCACGAGATGGGAAGCTGAGCATTCCCAAGCTCTGTAGCTGGCCATGGCACACTGCGAGCTTCTCTTTGGATCCTCCAACCTTTTGCATGGACTACTGATCGTCAGCCTGCACCCAGGCAAAGGATGGGGAGATCTTTGTGTCAGCAGATTGCTGTAGCAGTGGTTGCAAAGCGTTAGGAGGGCACTGATGTCTTTAGTTGCATTTGCTTTGCATGATGCTCGGTGGAAAGCAAAATATTGCAGAGCAATCTTCCTTTTTCTTTTCTTTTTTTTTTTTTTAATTTCTGTGATTGGTTTTTGAAAGTGTGGAGGATGTTTCTGCGTATCTCCCTGCCTTCTTTTTTTTTGGTTGGTTTTTTTTTTTCTGCTTTCCTAATGTTTGGATCTGGTGGGGGGATTCCATACTCATGCTGAAATGAAAATGTTTCTGCACGCTCCCTAGAAGTTTTAAATAAAAGCTAAAGCCTATACATTGACTTAAATATCTGTAAACGGTATCCTGGAAAATAAAAGAAAATCAGGTAGCTTCTGCAAAACACGTGATATAATTTTAATCTACTTTACAGGGAAACCGGAAGTGATTAATTGAGCAGTTAATGATTAATCTGGGCTTTATATTAGTGCAAAGCACTGAACTGTGTTTAAGGAAATTATTAATTGTAATTGCCTTTAAGAATCTGAAGAAAGATGATGCAAAATTATACTGGAAGTGCTGGAGAAAGTTTAAAACACTTCTTTTCAGTTGAAGAAATGATGTACTGGAAAAGGAATTAGTGATGCAGCCTAGCCTGTTTACGATAAATATCCCTACCCAACCCATAAAAAAAGGTTCCTCTCCAATATACAGAGCTTTCAAGAATCCCCATCATCTTTTAAGTCTGACTTTCATTTTTCTGGAGTTTTTTGGGCTGCTTCCATTCATCCTGCAGGTCCAGCTCTCTCCACCCCATAATTTAAGGCAGCAGGTGAGTGAAGCACAGAGGACAGCACAGAGACCAGCACCCCAACATGCAACCACCAAACCAGGGCCCTTAAGGGAGGCTTCCACAAAGCTGCTGCCAGAGACCTACAATAAAAAGGCACCGAAGAAGGTTTTGTGCTCCTTAGTGTAATCTACCAGCTTGATGTCACTAACATTGACCATTAGCTTGTCTCCTATCTCTAAGGAAACCACAGCTCCCAGATAAATGGGCTGGAACCAGTTGTTCCTTTCTTCACCGAGGGTCTTGCTGCTGGTCAGCAGCTGGGTGGGCTCGGGATAGCTGTCAGTGACTTTGGTGATGACTGCAGTGACAGAATTGGTTTTACTTGAAGTGTCACTGG